CCCCACCCCCAACACCCAGTGGCTGCCATTATTGAGGGCCAGCCATTACCATGCTGTTTTTAAAACAAGGGTATGGTAGCATAATAAAAAGCCACGGCGCTGTGAAAGGCTCGCTTGGTCTCTCTCCCATGCTTCTCAGAAGGCTGAATTAGCATGGAAATAACTCACCCCTGCTGTCACTCCCACAGCTGAGATTTCACAGAAAGGAGAAGAGAAGAGAAGAGGGGAGGGGAGAAAAGGAGGCTCAGACAGCCGTAATAGAGAGGGCTGGTGGATATGTCACTTCCTTTTTTTCTGAACACACACTTGATCTGTCCCAAAGTCCTCACCTAATTCACACAGAATCTACCGTCACTGAAGCAGTACACTCACGCTGCCTGATGTGACATCCTCTGGGGACGTGTGTCCCACGTCCTGTTGTGTAACCTAATCTGTCAGCCAAATGTTTTAAAGGTTATTCCAAGGTCTCTGAAAGCCAGGAAAGAAAATCCACATCGATGCAGAGTCTGTCTCTGACTTTGTTTCCATCAAATCATGAGTGGTCGCTGACTGGAGCGTGATCAGAGGAAGCTCCCAGACATGACACGTGCACCAGTGTCTGAGCTCTTCTTGTTCTTACGATCTCTGACAAAACAACTGAAGTCTTTTTATCAAAAAATGGCAGATCAAGAAGACAGTGTTTCCAAAAACAAATTACAAATTAGATGTGTCTGTAGATGTGAGAATTTCTGCCAAGAAAGATAATTGTCTGTAAGGATTTATTTGACATGTCGCATAAACACTGTCCCCACAGTGGAAAACTTTCTGTCGTCTGGAAAATAGAAAATCTCTCACAATTTGGCAAAGTTAAATCTGTTTTTCATTCTCCAGATTTCTGACTGGCCTGAAGAAGCCCCGACTGTAATCTGGAGGAGTACAGGCAAAAATACCCCAGAAGAAATGCCTCCAACTTGTTCAAATATACTCTAAACCTAACAGTCTAATAAACAGACACACACACGGCTGGTTATTTAGACTATGGCATGTGACCATTGATCTTAGTAGGCTGTCAAAATTAAAGGGATTATTCTAATTTATTACGTTGTGAAACTAATCAGATTAAAACCAAAAAAAGGTTTTTATTTCTTAGAAGCACCTGGAGGTTAAAATACCACAAAAGTTTAAAAAAGAACTGTCCAAATATTCTGCAGTCAAGATGCACAACACTGACTTCACTCCACCAGATTGATGAAGCTGCATTTTGACCAATATACAGTAATATACAGAAAACATTTTTATGTCATATTCAGGTAGGTTAAATCATCTTCATTACTCACGATGAACTGCAAATAATTCAAATCATGATTAAGAATAATCCTGATTCACCCACACCTAACCTGCGAATCAGATTCAAGTCATTTGACAGCTTTAGTTTTGAGTGATTCTGTACAGTACCTGAGTACTAAAAACAGGACAGGATGAGTTTTACTTCAAATTCTTCGTACTTCTGTGTTGTAACATATTCTCTGCCTAATTTTTCAACAAATGCGATCCATATTTCCTTGATGACAGTGCAGTGGCTCTAAAGATTAGCTTGCTGAGGCTAAATTGAGCTTTTGGGACACGGTTACTCTCTAAATCTGTGTCTAAGCTGTAGCTACATTACAAGTCTGAGCCCCAGAGTAACAGATACCCAGTCCTGTTTCTATGGCAACAGCCAACAGATTGACTTCTCGTCACCATTACTGTGGGGGCGTGTTGAACAAATATCTCCATGAATATTGTTTGCCCCCTCCTTGAACCACAACCTTAACGTGGTGGAGGGGTTTGAGTATCCGAATGAACCTAGGAGCTACAGTGGGTACGGAAAGTATTCAGACCCCTTTAAATTTGTCACTTTGTTTCATTGCAGCCATTTGCTAAAATCAAAAAAGTTCATTTTATTTCTCATTAATGTACACTCAGCACCCCATCTTGACAGAAAAAAACAGAAATGTAGAAGTTTTTGCTTCTTCTTTTTCTTTCGGCTTTGTCCCATTTTTCCTTGAATCCTCTCCTTGAATCGCAACCTTAACGTGGTGGAGGGGTTTGAGTATCCGAATGAACCTAGGAGCTATGTTGTCGGGGGCTTAACGCCCCTGGTAGGGTCTCCCAAGGCAAACAGGTCCTAGGCGACGGATCAGACAAATAGCGGTTCAACCCCCCC